GGGGGGGGGGGGGGGGGGGTTGTGAAGTCAATGAACAGGAGGGACAAGAGGTTTAACCTCAAGAATCCAATGGCTTAAACTATTTCCAAATTTGTAGCACGATATCTCATATCAGTTAGAGAAAAAAATGAAACATTCTTTATAATGTAGAAATCTCTCCTAAGCTGATGCGTTTTAGAACTACGAGACTATGACAATGATAGGTAACAATCAAAATTAGTAATATATGAGGTTTGGGATGTTACACTATTTCAATTGGAAAAATCTAATTCTTTAACCAAAGTTGGCTAATAATCATGGAGAAAGCTGCAAACAAAAAAGGCCAAAATTTTACCACCCCCTTGACCATTTAGTAGCTTTTATTTTTTTCCCATGGATTTTAGAGCCAAATTATAGGAACTAGGGAGAAGAGAAACATACCTACTGCTTTGGCGCTTTCATTCGACCTAATTTACTTTGCTCTTGTTGTACACCATATATAATGTTCTAAATATGGGAACCCGTCCCAGCTGTGATGACAAACATAAATTGATTATTACTCCAAATATAAACACAATATTAAATTCTACTGCCTAGAAGAAAACCCATGTAGCATCTAGTTAAAAAAAAAAAAAAAAAAAAATCATACCAACAAAGCTTAAAAGATAATAATTGTTGGACCAACAAAAAATCGTGTTAAATGATATTTAAAAAATATATATTTTTTTGACAAATATATATATATATATATACACACACATACACACAATGGGGTTATGGTCCGAGGCCCTACCCGATCCTCTTTGAGCTTGTCTTCGACACTTGTGTCACCTTGTTCTCTCCAACTTTGCATATGCCTCAACTTATCTTCAATGCACACTCTTAGTGTGTTGGATGATGCATCGTTCTACTCGGTCGTATAACGACACTTCTCAATCTTGGCCCTAAACCCTTATGTGGTCTGTGAGCCATTTGAGGGTTTCCCTTACCTATTGTCTTGATGGGTGGGGTCACAACCTACTATATATATATATAATTTCTATTAAATTCTTAAAAAAAAAAGTTTGACAAAATTATTTATTAAGAGCTAGAGTGGAAGTTCATAGAAACACTTTTTACCCACAAATTTGAATACTAAACTCGTAACGAAAATAAAAATATACTGATTGGCACGATAAACTGCAAAAACGATAATAAAGAGAAGCAAATTATTAGAGGAAAAACCCATCCCGCATGCAACGGTAGCATCAAGAATCTTATGCCAGGGTGGGAAATTGATGAAAGGACCGCAACTTTACGACTGTTCTAGCGATTGCGCTACAACCGACAACCGATCAAAGCAATTGAAGCCTCAATCATTGTGTGGCCGAAAATGCCAATGTGGTTCTGTGCCTCCATATCGGATCACAAATGATTATACGACGGATGTGATATGTTGTTCGAGAATTCCGTTCTAGAGTGCATCTGGAAACAAGATCGTGACTACCTACCGCTCTGTTAAAACTACCCTAATTCGTCGCTATGCAATTTACTTGCAAGTTTGGGGAAAAAATTGGAAATCGGTCCAGTTTGCTACACTGATTAATATATCAAAGAATCATTACCCAAACAATCAATCTTAACATCAGAACTCCAGCACTAAAAGAAAAATCAAAGATCGAAAACGTTAAAAAGTAACTGTGGTGAAGATAAGCCATCAGAATCGCCCTGAGAGCTGATCGTAACAAAACAGTGGAAATCTGTACGAACACGAAGAAACTTGTGAAGATAGAGTAGAGCTTGTACCTCCAGAATCGAAAACTTGTAAGGCGGAGCAAAATCGGCGGACATTGCGAAGCGCGCTTCCTCTGTCGGTGCATTTGAAATTGAATTTCCCGTACTGCAATTCAGATCAGTGCGGACTGAACAAAACTCCACCCATCTCTCTCTCTCTCTCTCTCTCTCTCTCTCTATGAGAATGATCGGACGGGTGAAATTAAAAATCGGGTGAATCGGAGATCAGCGGCTACAAACCGTCTGATGCAAATGGGTTTTAGGTTAAATTCATCGAACGGTGATTTGAGCTCCACTTTGGCGCCAATGGGATCGGACGGACTACAATCGGCGGTTTGGCGCCAACGAGACAGACATTACGTGGGAATATCTGGTTCCTTTTAATTAATTAGTTGATTAATTACTGTAAATAACATTAATATGATTTAATTTTTATAGCATAGTCATTATGTCGGTAACACGGCAGATTAAGGACATCAAATAAAATATTATTTCAAGAATTTTTTCTTCTTCTAAGGAAACATTACCATATAGAAAATAATTAATTTAACTTTATATAATTATTATGTTTAAATATATTACTTAAACCAACAAACCTACTCATTTAAGTATTTATTTATTTATTTTTTCCATAATATTTATAAATCCTAAATTTTTAATGTATTAAATAATAAGATATTTATAAACGTCCAACCCATGATTTTGGATAAGGATTTAGAATTTGTATTCGACGTATTATTTTAAGTTTTTCTTAATTATATTATTCTCTTGATTGCTCGTAGTTGATTCATGTATTTCTTTTTTATTTATTTATTTATTTATTTTGAGAGGGTAAGAATGGTGGGTCAATATGTTGTGGTTTGAGGTGGGTTTGGCATTTAATTATGAAGAGATTTTAAACAGGATCTCCAACTGATTCAGTGGCCCATGCAAATATATAGCGGAATCAATACACACAGCCAATTCATGGCAACACGACATTTCACCTTTTTAGGTTTTCTTCCCACTTTTTTATTGTCCCCTATACATAAATATAATATAAATATAATATAATATATATATCCCAATAATTAATTTCAATTTTAACAACCAGTTTCTATCACTTTCACTATATTTTATCAAAATAGTAAACTTTCACAAAATATTTAATTACTTTCATTAATTCATTTTCCAATAACTTTTCTTTTTCTTCATAAAAAAAAAAAAAAAAAAGAAATTGTACACAGTCTTTAATCTAATGAATTTTGTAATAGATTTGTTTATAATTCATAATTAGTACAATTTAAATTAAATTATCAATAATTAACCACGATTAGAAAAAAAGAATTATGGTTAATATATGACTTTCTATGGGTACAAAATTTAAATTTATAATTGCTGTCGTATTTAATTATAATTTAAATAATTTAGATATATAATGTGAGTTTTATATTTAAGCATTTTAAATGAAATAATTTGTAAAAATAAAAGGAAAAATTTAGGGTTTGGAAGGAGGGAGTAGTCCTAGTCCTAGTCGAGGTCGAAAGGCAGGTAGCGTGTAATGTACGCACCAATTAAAACGCGTTTAAGTGGAGAGGCATCTTTTGCCTTTCATGACACGACAGGCACATCAAGTGAGCGAGCGTGTAAGTTACGCGTGGTAAAAATGGTGTTTTATGTGTTTTTTTTAACTTAATATTATTATTATTATTTAAAAAAACTGGTTAGGGCTTCCCTTTCGGTTTATTCACGCCCAAATGCTGATATGCCCTATGATCCAATAATCTACATGATACCGCCACGTGTCGGTCTATAATTACCTCCACGAGCTCCCTCTCTCTCTCTCTCTCTCTCTGAATAAATAGGTCGTGGATGTTATGTCCATGTGGAATGTGGATGGCATGGGCATAGATGATTTTAATACGCACATCCAAACTTTCTAGGATTCAAAAAGATTATTTAAAAAAAAAAAAAAAAAAAAAAAAAAAAAAAACCACTCCACTATCTATAGATCTCTCTCTCTTTCTCTTTCTCTTTCTCTTTCTATTTACCTCTCCCTCCAACTATCGAAACCTCCGTTTCTCTCTCTAGGGTTTTTCGAAACTTCGCACTCAAATTCTGCTCCATCAGCTTCGAATCTCATCTCACAGCTTGGCTCCTCGTCTTCGTCTCTAAATGCTCTCTGTATCAGTACTGTTGCCTCGACTGGCCGTGAAGAATCGCTGTCCAGTTCATTCCGCGTCGTTCCAATTATCAGTTGGCTGAACTTAGGTGCGTTTTCGACTCCATTTAATTTCTTGTATCATCTTCTTCTATGGAAAATCTTTCGATTTCTTTCCTTTTTATGCCTTAAGGTTTTTTTTCAGCTCGTTTTGAGCTGTTTTTTTTTCAATTTTCTTACCTCATTTTCCCTAATTAGCTTGTGATATTCGGTTCTGGTTTTCTTTATCTTCTTTTCGTTTTCTATTCTGGCTGATTTTTCGAAAGTGAATTCGCTAAGTTTCCGGCATTTTATGTGTTGCTTTCGGTTATTTGATGTGTCACTGCGTCAACTGTTTGTCTGTCTCGAATTTCTGAGCTGAATAAAAACCCTAAATATTTATCAGCGGACCAATTCGCTTCTTCCTCCACTGTGGTTGGAATTTTCAGATGATAATTATTTTAGATGGCTTTGTAAAATCCATTTTGTTTATGTCGTCTACTGTATCTCCGCTATTTTCAGGTAGTTGATCTTCGTAAACCCTAGACAAGGCTTTTCGTACTGTTGTACTGACTAATGCTTTTCTTTGAATTATATATGAGTAGAGCTGGTTAATTATGTAGTTTATTGTTTGTAATTGGTGAAATTATGCCTCGTAGACATCCTTGCTTGTTATTTATAATAAATTAGGGTTTAATGTTCATTATCCTCGAGTAATATGTAGTAATAAGTTGCTTGTGATCATTATTTTATGTGTCTTCGGGTTAATGTTTGCCTGAGGAGTCGTTTCTCTGGAATTATTCATACTTCTCATTTATTGAAACTGTTATTTTATGTGAGAAATAAGTACACATGATGATCGATTGAAGGTATGATGACTTGTTTGGTTGAAGCTCTTAATCTTATTTCTTTTGATACACATCAATTTGATGCCTATCATTTTATTATACTTTCACCATTTAATGATCTAATTGGCTCGCTGTTCGGTATATGATCACGAATTGGCCATTTTACAGCTATAAACCGTAGCTAACCTGAAGTGTTCTAATGGACGAGGAGCATCATCAGAAGAGTGATTCTAGTATCGTTTTGAGGACTACAGTCCCATTCATTGAGATTGAATCTTTATTTATAGACCTTTCCAGTTGTATTGATAAACCTGGTGCTGGAAATTGTGATCATTTCTCCATACGGTATGACTTTACATTATATCAAGTTTAAACATGTTGTTGTGTTCCTTTTTTAATTAAGTTGTATTGGTTTGATTGAAAACTGAGACTGTGTTAACTAGAGCTTGGTTCATGCACGTCTCGTTGAAATATTCATGCTCATGTCTCCTAGTGCACTTATACACTAATGAATCATTTCCACATCTTGGTTTTCATGCAATTGTTATTGTCCATACACAAATCAAAATGTTTCTACTTTCTTTCAACTGTTATCCAATTTGGAAATTTCAATGATAATGCTATGCATAGCAACTAAATGGAACTTCTCTTTACTTTTTGGTGTGCGACGCATCACATACTTGGTTTTTTAAATTGTTATCTAAACGACTAATGTGGAAGATGAAATCAGCATTTGAGCTCACCTAGTTTAGAATGTTCTTCAAATATGAATACCAAACAGACTAAATTTCTCAGAGCTAAGAGTTTAGGTTAAGAAAAGACCTCGATGAAGTGAAGGTTCAATTTCCTGTAAATCCAGTCTTTTGTCGTACTATGTCAAATTAATTTCCTCAAAATATGTTCTCAACATCCATTGTCACTTTTCCTCATCAATTGTCTTTTGTACAGTGGATATGCATCTCAAATGCGTGAGAAAGATTGGAAAAAAGGCTGGCCATTTGATTTAGATGGTGACTATGAGTCTGAGGAGACACTATCCTTGCTTCCACCTTTTCATATTCCGCAATTCAGGTGGTGGCGATGTCAAAATTGCAGGAAGGAGACTCCTGCAGGTGGTGCTAAAAAGGATAAGGATTTAATAGTTGACTGTTGCAACTGCAACCCCCCCCCCCCCCCCCCCCCCCCCCCCCCCCCCCCCCCCCCCCCCCCCCCCCCCCCCCCCCCCCCCCCCCCCCCCCCCCCCCCCCCCCCCCCC